CACCTCCCATATAAACCGAATTTTTATACTGCATATCCCTGAAAGTATTCATGGTACAGTTCAGTCCATACTCATGGAGAAAATTGGGGCTATTTGAAAAGGGGGTGTGAGGCCTATAAACGTACCGACTTTTAGCTATCTGGCACCTCCCATATAAACCGAATTTTTATACTGCATATCCCTGAAAGTATTCATGGTACAGTTCAGTCCATACTCATGGAGAAAATTGGGGCTATTTGAAAAGGGGGTGTGAGGCCTATAAACGTACCGACTTTTAGCTATCTGGCACCTCCCATATAAACCGAATTTTTATACTGCATATCCCTGAAAGTATTCATGGTACAGTTCAGTCCATACTCATGGAGAAAATTGGGGCTATTTGAAAAGGGGGTGTGAGGCCTATAAACGTACCGACTTTTAGCTATCTGGCACCTCCCATATAAACCGAATTTTTATACTGCATATCCCTGAAAGTATTCATGGTACAGTTCAGTCCATACTCATGGAGAAAATTGGGGCTATTTGAAAAGGGGGTGTGAGGCCTATAAACGTACCGACTTTTAGCTATCTGGCACCTCCCATATAAACCGAATTTTTATACTGCATATCCCTGAAAGTATTCATGGTACAGTTCAGTCCATACTCATGGAGAAAATTGGGGCTATTTGAAAAGGGGGTGTGAGGCCTATAAACGTACCGACTTTTAGCTATCTGGCACCTCCCATATAAACCGAATTTTTATACTGCATATCCCTGAAAGTATTCATGGTACAGTTCAGTCCATACTCATGGAGAAAATTGGGGCTATTTGAAAAGGGGGTGTGAGGCCTATAAACGTACCGACTTTTAGCTATCTGGCACCTCCCATATAAACCGAATTTTTATACTGCATATCCCTGAAAGTATTCATGGTACAGTTCAGTCCATACTCATGGAGAAAATTGGGGCTATTTGAAAAGGGGGTGTGAGGCCTATAAACGTACCGACTTTTAGCTATCTGGCACCTCCCATATAAACCGAATTTTTATACTGCATATCCCTGAAAGTATTCATGGTACAGTTCAGTCCATACTCATGGAGAAAATTGGGGCTATTTGAAAAGGGGGTGTGAGGCCTATAAACGTACCGACTTTTAGCTATCTGGCACCTCCCATATAAACCGAATTTTTATACTGCATATCCCTGAAAGTATTCATGGTACAGTTCAGTCCATACTCATGGAGAAAATTGGGGCTATTTGAAAAGGGGGTGTGAGGCCTATAAACGTACCGACTTTTAGCTATCTGGCACCTCCCATATAAACCGAATTTTTATACTGCATATCCCTGAAAGTATTCATGGTACAGTTCAGTCCATACTCATGGAGAAAATTGGGGCTATTTGAAAAGGGGGTGTGAGGCCTATAAACGTACCGACTTTTAGCTATCTGGCACCTCCCATATAAACCGAATTTTTATACTGCATATCCCTGAAAGTATTCATGGTACAGTTCAGTCCATACTCATGGAGAAAATTGGGGCTATTTGAAAAGGGGGTGTGAGGCCTATAAACGTACCGACTTTTAGCTATCTGGCACCTCCCATATAAACCGAATTTTTATACTGCATATCCCTGAAAGTATTCATGGTACAGTTCAGTCCATACTCATGGAGAAAATTGGGGCTATTTGAAAAGGGGGTGTGAGGCCTATAAACGTACCGACTTTTAGCTATCTGGCACCTCCCATATAAACCGAATTTTTATACTGCATATCCCTGAAAGTATTCATGGTACAGTTCAGTCCATACTCATGGAGAAAATTGGGGCTATTTGAAAAGGGGGTGTGAGGCCTATAAACGTACCGACTTTTAGCTATCTGGCACCTCCCATATAAACCGAATTTTTATACTGCATATCCCTGAAAGTATTCATGGTACAGTTCAGTCCATACTCATGGAGAAAATTGGGGCTATTTGAAAAGGGGGTGTGAGGCCTATAAACGTACCGACTTTTAGCTATCTGGCACCTCCCATATAAACCGAATTTTTATACTGCATATCCCTGAAAGTATTCATGGTACAGTTCAGTCCATACTCATGGAGAAAATTGGGGCTATTTGAAAAGGGGGTGTGAGGCCTATAAACGTACCGACTTTTAGCTATCTGGCACCTCCCATATAAACCGAATTTTTATACTGCATATCCCTGAAAGTATTCATGGTACAGTTCAGTCCATACTCATGGAGAAAATTGGGGCTATTTGAAAAGGGGGTGTGAGGCCTATAAACGTACCGACTTTTAGCTATCTGGCACCTCCCATATAAACCGAATTTTTATACTGCATATCCCTGAAAGTATTCATGGTACAGTTCAGTCCATACTCATGGAGAAAATTGGGGCTATTTGAAAAGGGGGTGTGAGGCCTATAAACGTACCGACTTTTAGCTATCTGGCACCTCCCATATAAACCGAATTTTTATACTGCATATCCCTGAAAGTATTCATGGTACAGTTCAGTCCATACTCATGGAGAAAATTGGGGCTATTTGAAAAGGGGGTGTGAGGCCTATAAACGTACCGACTTTTAGCTATCTGGCACCTCCCATATAAACCGAATTTTTATACTGCATATCCCTGAAAGTATTCATGGTACAGTTCAGTCCATACTCATGGAGAAAATTGGGGCTATTTGAAAAGGGGGTGTGAGGCCTATAAACGTACCGACTTTTAGCTATCTGGCACCTCCCATATAAACCGAATTTTTATACTGCATATCCCTGAAAGTATTCATGGTACAGTTCAGTCCATACTCATGGAGAAAATTGGGGCTATTTGAAAAGGGGGTGTGAGGCCTATAAACGTACCGACTTTTAGCTATCTGGCACCTCCCATATAAACCGAATTTTTATACTGCATATCCCTGAAAGTATTCATGGTACAGTTCAGTCCATACTCATGGAGAAAATTGGGGCTATTTGAAAAGGGGGTGTGAGGCCTATAAACGTACCGACTTTTAGCTATCTGGCACCTCCCATATAAACCGAATTTTTATACTGCATATCCCTGAAAGTATTCATGGTACAGTTCAGTCCATACTCATGGAGAAAATTGGGGCTATTTGAAAAGGGGGTGTGAGGCCTATAAACGTACCGACTTTTAGCTATCTGGCACCTCCCATATAAACCGAATTTTTATACTGCATATCCCTGAAAGTATTCATGGTACAGTTCAGTCCATACTCATGGAGAAAATTGGGGCTATTTGAAAAGGGGGTGTGAGGCCTATAAACGTACCGACTTTTAGCTATCTGGCACCTCCCATATAAACCGAATTTTTATACTGCATATCCCTGAAAGTATTCATGGTACAGTTCAGTCCATACTCATGGAGAAAATTGGGGCTATTTGAAAAGGGGGTGTGAGGCCTATAAACGTACCGACTTTTAGCTATCTGGCACCTCCCATATAAACCGAATTTTTATACTGCATATCCCTGAAAGTATTCATGGTACAGTTCAGTCCATACTCATGGAGAAAATTGGGGCTATTTGAAAAGGGGGTGTGAGGCCTATAAACGTACCGACTTTTAGCTATCTGGCACCTCCCATATAAACCGAATTTTTATACTGCATATCCCTGAAAGTATTCATGGTACAGTTCAGTCCATACTCATGGAGAAAATTGGGGCTATTTGAAAAGGGGGTGTGAGGCCTATAAACGTACCGACTTTTAGCTATCTGGCACCTCCCATATAAACCGAATTTTTATACTGCATATCCCTGAAAGTATTCATGGTACAGTTCAGTCCATACTCATGGAGAAAATTGGGGCTATTTGAAAAGGGGGTGTGAGGCCTATAAACGTACCGACTTTTAGCTATCTGGCACCTCCCATATAAACCGAATTTTTATACTGCATATCCCTGAAAGTATTCATGGTACAGTTCAGTCCATACTCATGGAGAAAATTGGGGCTATTTGAAAAGGGGGTGTGAGGCCTATAAACGTACCGACTTTTAGCTATCTGGCACCTCCCATATAAACCGAATTTTTATACTGCATATCCCTGAAAGTATTCATGGTACAGTTCAGTCCATACTCATGGAGAAAATTGGGGCTATTTGAAAAGGGGGTGTGAGGCCTATAAACGTACCGACTTTTAGCTATCTGGCACCTCCCATATAAACCGAATTTTTATACTGCATATCCCTGAAAGTATTCATGGTACAGTTCAGTCCATACTCATGGAGAAAATTGGGGCTATTTGAAAAGGGGGTGTGAGGCCTATAAACGTACCGACTTTTAGCTATCTGGCACCTCCCATATAAACCGAATTTTTATACTGCATATCCCTGAAAGTATTCATGGTACAGTTCAGTCCATACTCATGGAGAAAATTGGGGCTATTTGAAAAGGGGGTGTGAGGCCTATAAACGTACCGACTTTTAGCTATCTGGCACCTCCCATATAAACCGAATTTTTATACTGCATATCCCTGAAAGTATTCATGGTACAGTTCAGTCCATACTCATGGAGAAAATTGGGGCTATTTGAAAAGGGGGTGTGAGGCCTATAAACGTACCGACTTTTAGCTATCTGGCACCTCCCATATAAACCGAATTTTTATACTGCATATCCCTGAAAGT